TTTTTAATTTATATCCAAAAAAATAAAAAAATAAAAAAGATTTAAAACCTAAGTTTAAAAAAAAACAAAAAAGAGCCTTTCCTCAAGACACCTCAGTCTAGCCTCGTCGAACTAAGGCTTCTGAAATTTGAAGGGATGGTTAGCTACTAAAGACATTCCTTATTTCTCTGTGATTTTCTATTGCTTGATATCGGATCTTTTGGATTCGACTATTTGTCTACAATCATTTCGAAATTGAACATCGCACTATAAATCTAAATACGTAGAAATCAGAGTAATGTAAAATTTAAGTCGATTTAGATTACAATTTAGATCAGGTTAAGCACTGTGACGTGAGATATCACTATTGGCGATATTTACTTCAAATTATAAGGTAAAAATTTTCTTTGCTTTGGGCTCAGGAAAATACGAGGGGGGGGGTGCTTGGGTGGGAGAGTGTATGTTTATATACTAGGATGAGGATCGTTAGATAGAAAAAGAAATATATCTAGAGAGAAGATTCCTTGCAGATTCCTTGAAATTTCAATAAACAAAACTTTTTTTTTTATTTTAAGTTTCAGCGTTAGAATTTTTTTTTATTGAAAACGTTTAATATTAAAAGTTTCATCATTAAAAAGTTTTATTATTTGAAAATTCAATTCACAAAAGTTTCACAACTAGAAAGTTTTTTTTATTGAAATTATTTTTTCATTAGAAAGTTTCAGTCTCATCATAAAAAATTTAAAGCTTCCATCAACATCAAGTTTTTTCATTGAAAAGTTTCATTATTAGAAAGTTTCATCATTATAATGTTTCGCATACAATGAGTTTTACCATCAGAAGAAATTTTTTCGTCCCGGAATTGTTTACCTTGCGAGGGAACTTAAATCTACACGAGAACGTTCGACCATCTTCTGACCATCCGACTAGCGTACACTAAAACATTCTTAACAAGTCCAGTTTTAACTCTACTACTTTCATACACTATTTAACAAAACCAAAATCTTCTCTGTAGTTTGAGATGAAATAACTGTGTTTCAAATTTACATGCCCTAAAAATTTTCAAAGTTTGTTCTAGCGTAAAATGGCCCAGTGCATAAACCCGTGTTACTCATCCCCCGGTCTTTGCTCTCTGTCGAGTCGCCCTCCCACGCATAAATTAGCACCTGCCAATTGACCCATTTTTGGTAATTAACGCCATTATGCAGCTTGCAACTGATATTGTGAGAGAAAAAAATGAATTCTGTACAAAGCCTAAACACTCAACGATTGCCTGAAATGAACTGACAGAGTACTAAAATAAATCGGATTATGTAGTTAGTACTTTAAGTAACTGGTATTGTAAGAAAAAATGCATTCTATACAATACGGCTGGTAAGTAGGTCACCAACCAGTTATATAGCTTAATAAAACCTGCATGAGCCATATAACTGGTTCATGACCTACTTACCAGCCCTATTCCTCAGCAAACAATAGAACAGAGATCTAAATAAATCGGTTTTCGTCCTTTGTCGAGGTACTCTATAGAACGTCAGGCTAGGGTTTTATCTGTAATCGGCAGGGGGGGGGGGGGGGGGGGGGGGGTAATGTCCTACTGCAGTTTTTAGGCACGGAAACGGAGTAATTTACAAGAGGTGATTGACCGGGAGGGAATTCCGGTTGATGACCGGGGGTTGGGGGGTAATTAATTTCGGGGTAATGCCCTGCTTGCATAGAAAAATAATGTAGATAAACATTTTAGATTTTTAATTAGATTCATAGAAGTAAATTAAACATTCGTTTAAAATTAGAATACAGATTTAATCAAGCTAAAATGTGCTCATTAATGAATCTGATAAGGTTCGTTTTTTAATACGTAAACTCGGCGAGGTGTGGCTATTAAGTGATTAAAGCCTGCAGCTTCTAATAACACTTTAAAGGTGATAATATCATACGTTGCTTTGTTGTAATTGAAACGTTATAAGTTTGAGTTATATTCAAAAACTAATGGGCTTAGAAAACAGGTGTAGAAATATAAGCTGCATCGACCAATATAACAACAAACAGTAGGGATAGGAAGAAAGAAATAGATAACTAAAATATGTTGTTTTATTTGGCTAGGTAGGGGAAATATGTTGATAAATTTATGCTAGTGTTTGATATTTCTTAAGTGCTAATAACGAAGAAGGTTTTATTAAACTGCTGGAGATATCGACATGTATATCTTATCCGTATGTGGGTAGGGGTAGGATGGATTGGATGCATTACGTATTCGTGGTTAGAAGACTAACAATAGCCACATGTATTTGATCCAGTGGCGTAGCGAGGTCGGGTGTCACCCGGTGCGGCACTTAATGGTGTCACCCCCCCCCCCCAGAGGCGTAGCGACCCTTCCCGGGGACAAACTTTTAAATTTTCGATTTGCACCCCCCCTTTCAAACTTTCAATTTGCACCCCCCTCAAGCTTTCAATTTGCACCCCACCCCCCTCAAATTTCGATTTGTACCCCCCCCCCTCAAGTTTTTCTCTCTATATTTTGCCATTTTTTGCCTTGGTGTCACCCCCCTAAATGGTGTCACCCGGTGCGGTCCGCACCCCCCGCCCCCCCCCCTCGCTACGCCCCTGATTTGATCATTTATATCTAAGTGTTGATATAAACATTGTTAACGTGGGATGTGACTTTTTAAAAGTTTTTTTTTTGTTAATAAAAGTTAACCGTTTAGTTTTTTTCTCAAAAGGTAGGGGTTAACTACAATCCTAATCCCCCCCCCTCCCCCCCCCCCCCCCCCCCCCCCGATCTGACCTATAATTAGACCTCCGTGGACCTGAAAGAAGGCTTGTTGACGCAGACGACACCGTAATAGACTTGCCACGGGAGCCACTCCCAGGACGATTGGGATCAAAAACAAATTAGCCCGCCCGTGCAACAGCCGGGGTTTTAAAGTACATAGTGTTGGTCAACACGGTAGTTTACAGAAAGTGAGAGCAAGGTAGTTTACATAATGTGTCAATATGGTACTTTACATAATGTGTCAAAATGGTACTTTACATAATGTGTCAATATGGTACTTTACATAATGCGTCAATATGATACTTTACTTAATGGGTCAACAAGATACTTTACATAATGTTTGGCAACAGTTTCGAAAGTATCGTGTTATATATAATTAGCAAAGCTTGTTGTTTGTGAAATAAAAGTGACTGACTAACTGGTTGTAAATAATAACTTTACACACAGTAGAATGAATATGTTCAAACATTTACCGAACCCATGTTGGTTATGTTTGAGTTGCTGTTTTTTTTTTTAACACATTTCTTAATCTTTTTAACATGGCTAACACCGATAGCGGGATTTGCTATCTTTGTCTTCTTATTCGTCTTTCTTAATTGTACTATTTGAGGGAATTAATGTCTAGACAATTATCAATGATTAATGCGTCATTGCCCTCTGACTATGATTTCAGCCTTCTTTTCTTTCAGGATTTGCTTCCATACTTTTTAATCGCACTAGAACAATCTGCATCTGTTTCTTCTTCTTTCTTAACTGCAAAGTCGGAAGGGATTCCCTCTAACATAATTAAGAATTACGTGTCAACATGTTATACGCCATATTGGCCGCTGACTCAGATTTCAGCCTGCTTTTTTTTTTTTAATTTGCTTACATAGCCGTTTTTAGAAACCGAACCATAAAGCAGCAGTTGTTTGATTTTAGAGTTGTCTCGCCTAGATGGGTTGCTGTCCCTAGTTAACGAGCCTCATTTACACAGCGATTCAAATTGGGGACATTTAGAGTTAGCAATCATACGCTCTTCCGTCCACTAATCTACATAATTTAGGACTCTAAGCGCTAAAACGAAGCCCATACTGAAGTATTCAGATTACATAGACCCGACAATTTTACAATAGTTTCCAGTAGAGTTTCTTCCAGGCGAAGCCCCCCCCCCCCCCCCCCTCGCCCGAAAAAATTTACCGCCCCCCCCCCCCCGAACGAAATGAAATTTATATAATTTATATAGAAAATATATACTTTTAACAGTGCCCGCCCCCCCCCCCCCCCCCGAAGAAAGTCTACCCCCTCCCCGAAAATTTCAAGTGCCCCCCAGAGAAAAAAAGTCTGGAAGAAACACTGGTTTCCAGATTACCATATTGACACCAATAGTTTTTAGATTACCATATTGACACCAATAGTTTTTAGATTACCATATTGACACCAATAGTTTTCAGATTACTATATTTACACCAATAGTTTTCAGATTACTATATTTACACCAATAGTTTTCAGATTACCATATTTACACCAAGAGTTTTCACATTACATAGAAACGACACATTTTACAATAGCTTTCAGATTACTATATTTACACCAAGAGTTTTCACATTACATAGACACGACACATTTTACAATAGCTTTCAGATTACCATATTTACACTAATAGTTTTCAGATTACATAGACCCGACACATTTTACAATAGCTTTCAGATTACCATATTTACACCAATAGTTTTCAGATTACATAGACCCGACACATTTTACAATAGCTTTCAGATTACTATATTTACACCAATAGTTTTCAGATTACTATATTTACACCAATAGTTTTCAGATTACTATATTTACACCAATAGTTTTCAGATTTTCGTATTTACACCAAGAGTTTTTACATTACATAGACACGACACATTTTACAATAGCTTTCAGATTACCATATTTACACCAATAGTTTTCAGATTACATAGACCCGATACATTTTACAATAGCTTTCAGATTACCATATTTACACCAATAGTTTTCAGATTATCATATTTATACGATTAGTTTTTAGATTACCATATTTACACGAATAGTTTTAAGATTACCATATTTACACCAATAGTTTTTAGATTACCATATCGACACCAATAGTTTTTAGATTATTATATTTACACCAATAGTTTTTAGATTACCATATTTACACCAATAGTTTTTAGATTACCATATTTACACCAATTGTTTTCAGTTTACATAGACCCGACACATTTTACAAATAGAAGGCAAATCTCACCTGGATCACCAGCAAATTGCCCAAAACCCCGACAGTCAGAATGAGGGCGCTAAAGAAGGCGACATACACGTAAATGTAGGGCGGGGGGTTAATGTCCGTCCCGTTACCGGGCCTGGAACCCGGGCTGGCGTTGTATGCGGCCTCGCTGCTCTCCACTTGGCTAAAGTTGTCTCCCTCCGCTGGGTACGTTGGCACAAGCACTATCTCCATGGTTACCACAGACCTGTTGGGAAAAATGTTTGTTTTTAAAGAAAAATAAAGTGTTTACAGTAACTTACATAGTGTGTTTCGTTTAACGAGCGATTCGGGATTTTTTCTTCTTCTTCGTTCTTAAATTTTAGTGTTGGAAGAGATCGAGCCTTATGTGCCAGAGGTTTTGAACTCGAGACTTTTTTCGAATTTATCAACCATGAGCTTTTGCCGACTCGACCATGCTTTCATCATAATTAAGGATTACGTGTCAACTGGTTATGCGCCATTGAGGCCATTGACTCCGATTTCAGTCTGCTTTTCTTTTTGGATTTGCTTCCATAGCTTTTGTCCAACCAAGAACAAACTACAAGGCAGCAGTTGATTTTTTTTTGGGAGTTGTCCCTCCTAGAAGAATGGCTGTCCCCAGCTAACGAGCCTCATCTGCCAGATTCGGGATAATACAAGTCTAATATTGCAGTTGTGTTAGTTGGTTAAAGCTATTCCTTATTTTAAAAAAAATTAATCTCTGGAGAACTTAACCTACTAAGCTTATATTATTATATTGATACAGATCCTAAATGGGCTGAGCATAGTGCTTACCGCACTATCTCTTCATATGCCGAGGTCACAGAAACAAGTGAACTCTACTTCACTTGCCCTATAGACCGCCAGGTTTGAAAGGGAACTTTACTTTTTTTACAGATCCTAAATAGAGTCCACTAGATATTTTAACGTCTTTTTTTATCTCATTGTAAAACACAATAATCTTAAATAAAATTTTGAAAATTAAAAACATTATTCTAAAATTATTCTTTAAACCGCTAACCGTTCGTTTTGTCTCTTGTAAAGTTAAAAAAAAAACGAACGCATTTTGTAGCTGTCAGGGGCGGTTATGGAAACGCCCCATTTTTCTAAAGCCAAATGTGTCTCATTAATTCGCCCACACTGATTTAACACTAGATGGCCCGTGATTGGATGAGATCGATAACTGCAGGGTTAGGTCTTGGTGGGGGTTGGGTCACGATGACATACTAAAGGCTCAATGTCATTTGGGTCAGTGTGACATCTGTAGGTTTCGATGTCATTTGGTTTAATGTGATATCTTAATTAAAGCTTCAACGTCATCTGGCTTAATACGATATCTTTGGGTGTCGATGTCATTTGCGCCAAAATTATATTTTAAAGGCTCAATGTCATCTGACTGAAAATGACATGATTAGGTTTCGATATCATTTTGGTCAAAGTGACATTTTAAAGGCTCAATGCCATCTGGGCCAGCATGAAATCTTTAGGTGTTGATGTCATTTGAGTCAACATGGCATTTTAAAGTCTAAGTTTCATTTGGGTTAACATGACATCTTTAAGTTTCGAGGTCATTTGGGTCAGAATGACACTTTAAAGGCGTAATGTCACCTAGGCCAACAGGACATCATTAGAGTTCGATGTCATTTGAGTCAGTTTGGTCTCGATGAAAGTTGGGTCATCATGACATTGTAGATCTCCGTGTGTGATGAGTTACTATAGCAAGGTCTGGGAATTTTACAGTTAAGATTGTTATCACATGGTAAAGATTTGACACTGTTATAAATATCGCATACCTATGATCAGTATAGTGACAGATAATGTGTGAATTCAGGCGTGCCCAATCATCAAGGTTAGATATTTGTCACACTTAGAAAAAATCAATATGAACTTGTTAGAGATCAGAGAAACCAACACATTCTAATTCAATGCCCTATTGATTTTCTTACTTAAATTGGGAACTTTACTGAGTTTTTTTGTTAATATTTGATGTCACAAATTACTACAAGTGATACAGTGTTCTATTGGAGTATCTAACCATTTAAGTAAGGGGCGTGGCCTAGCGGTAGAGCGCTAGACCGTTAACCCAAAAGTCTCGAGTTCGAATCCGGGTTCAAGTTAGTATAACTTCCTTCAGATCACCCAGCTCTCTTAGGTACCTAATGCAAATTATAGAAAGGGAATGAGGCTGGGCATAGTGCTGACTACACTATCCTTACATATGCCGAGGTCTCTCAAACAGAAGAACCCTACTTCATTTCCCCGTGTATCTTGGGCACAAACGGGAAAAAAATGAACCGTTTAATTGACACAATTAAATATAGTTATGAGTTGGATGGTTATTTACTAATTAGGTCGGTCTACGTCATATTGTTATGCGTTCGTTAACCTTTTAATTCTAATAATACGACAACAAATGAAGCAGTAGACAAGAAGTGTTTATCTGGGTCGCTTAAATAAAGTTTAGCCCAATGTTGAGTGCTCACATTTCGCCATACACGCGCAAACAGCGACAGCTGCGAATCAATAGAAAGGTGTTAAGTTAAGCCTCAAAGGCTGAGGTAGAACAACAAAGCCGCACTAGATAAACATCTTGAATTGTGTTGGTAGATTTATTTCCATTTGTGCTCAGTGAGAGCTGTTATGAGCAGATGTAGAGTTTTTTACAATCTTAGCAACGATTTCGTAAACATTTGTTTCATGTATTCGTATAAATATATATGGAAATAGGTATATCTTTATAACAAACAATATCGATACTTAGACATCCTACTATCGACTGTCCCTATATATATATATATATATATATATATATATATATATATATATATATATATATATATATATATATATATATATATATATATATATATATCTATATATATATTTTTTTTTAAAAACTTGTGTTTAATGAACATGCCGACAATTATTACTATAATTTGAAAAATGAAAATTATTTCCCAACACTTTCAATAGTAATTTTTTAACTCATAAATTTAGACAAATGCGCACGATAATTGTCTAACACTTAAATCCATCCAAGACCAACGACAAACATATGCGTTACATACAGAACTGAGCTTTATATATTAGATATATATATATATATATATATATATATATATATATATATATATATATATATATATATATATATATATATATATATATTAGTTTCTGTTGGCTCATTGTAAAAAACAAGTAGTTCCATTCCCGGGAATAGTGTTTCTTTAGTTAGCACTTACAAGGACGGCAGAAAGCAGAAATACAGAAGCTAGCAGCCTTTACATCTTCAAAGTTATTCTTTGAATACATTAAAACACATTCAACTCAGAATATTCGAGAATTCGGAACGGGCGGGATTCGAACTCACAACCCTTAACAATAGCAAAAAAATACGTCCACTTGTGTAATGCGACATCATTTGTGAATATACTTATATGTAACGAGCGAACAGTTACCCTGCTCGCAACGCCACATGTTACGAGATTATTTGCCTGTAGTGCCAAATGTAACGAGTTTAACCACTCATTCTACACAACATCGACCACAGTAGAAATACTCGAAGATGCAGGTTCGCTATTGATCCTTTTATTACATGAATCAAGAAATGCTTCAAAATAACACAATGAATCAACAGGAATGCTTCACAATAATAGTCTGAATCAACTGACCCCTAACAGTCCTCACTAGGCTTCATATAACTGAATCCACATGTCTATCGTCCTTCTTAACCCAAGACGGCTAACCCGTTCTATAACCAACTGTCACACAGACTGACTGATCTAAAGCGAGCGATCGAAAGAGAGCGAGCTCCGCCGTCCCCTCCTATTTATCCCTTGTATTCGTACTCGTATTCGTACTTGTATTCATCCGTAATCGATATTTGTAATCGATGTCTCCGACTACTAGTTGCGCAGTTCTAACGTACAGCCCGATTAATAAAACATCTGCATCCTATCACTCAAAGTTGACAGGCCGTCTGAATCCCCTCGTACCGTTTCCCAAAATAGCACGCGTTGGCTTTGAGATTGTTATCAGTCCGGTTTAATAAGCCACCTGCTATCAGTTGCATCAGACTGTAATACTGCGTCGCGGCTTATCGTTCGTTATCAGTTGCATCAGATTGTAACTAGTAGTTAGGCCTACCCTAGTTACATCCACCCCTGCCTTTTTTTGTGTGTTTTCAACCACAAACAACGCTTGGCAGGTGCATTCCTCCAAAATCAATCGCACCATCGTAAAAAAATTTATTGTTCCACTCACTGTCCACGTCGTCCCATTCGTATACGATTGACAGTTATACCTAATTCACATATCAACTGTGTCTACATCATCTTCCTGAGACACAAAACAGTTCTAGAATTCACATCCACCCTTTCCATTTGGTGCCTTCACCAGTTCACTTTTATAGCTTTTTGAACAGTCTGTTCTCATACCAGCGCGACCATGAAAGAATTGATGGTTGCTGACAAAAAATTTCGTCTTCCTTCTGTTCCTCAAACTTCTCCGCGGACCACTTATCTGATGGTCTACTGTCTCTCTGCTTCTGGGAGGAACGGGATCCTCTTTGTTGCCGTTATCCTCCACTTGTGTATCGCTGTTGTTCTGTTGATGGTGATATGGTTCCGGGATGGGTATGTGAATTTCCGTTGTAACTTCCGGTTCCCTAATTGTCTTAGGTTTCTCTGTGTGTAACTGCTCTTCTTGCCTATTCCAATATTTCTTTAATTGAGCAATGTTCGCCCACCGATCCGGTTTGGCGTGATCGATGGGTCTTATCTTAAAGGGGCCACCTGCTACTTTAGGCATCTCCACGACTTGCCATATCTCCTGTCCCCAGAGGTCGTGGATCTTATTTCTGCCTAACGGGTGGCTACGCAGTAATACCCTGTCGTTCAGTTTGAGTGGCGGGTCCTTTGTCTGTACCGGCGGTTCCCTTCGCCGAGATTCATGTTCTAGTCTTTCCTGTACTACCCTGTACATTTCTCTAATTCTTCTCATATGTTCATTCACATATTCCAGTGCGGTGTATGAGCCAGTCATACTCTCCCTTTTTACTAGGAACAAATCAAGAGGGAGTCAAGCCTCCCGTCCGAACAGCAACATGTGTGGCGCAAAGCCCGTTGTGGCATGGGGGGTGCAGTTGTATAGATATACCAACTCTGGGAGAAAATCCGGCCAACGTTTTTTCTGTTCAGGTTCTAGGGTACGCA